TTCTTACATCAATGTCACCGATCAAAAAAATATTGTGATTCGAAGTTAGACTTTGAAAAGGCTTTTGACAAATTGGAACATCAAGTCATTCTTTAAGTTATGAAACATAAAGGCTTTTCCTGAGATGGATCAATTGGATTGAAAATATCTTAAGTTTAGGTTCATCCTCTGTTATCCTAAATGGCATACACAGTAAGCCCTTCAAATGTAAAAGAGGTGTTAGAGCAGGGGGATCCCTTTCTCCCCTTCTATTTGTGCTAGCTGCAGACCTCCTCCAAACAATTATCAACCGAGCCTAGCACATGGGAGTTCTGAGGCATCCAATCATTGACAACTATGGTGGAGACTACCCCATCCTGCAATATGATGATGACACTCTACTCATCCTACACGGTGATGCTTGAATTTTATTTAACTTGAAAGGCTTGTTAAGATCCTTTTACGACTCAACAGGTTGCATGTCAATTTCAACAAATACTTTTTAGTTCCTATTAGCCTCTCTTAGGACAGAGCTCTACACCTAGCTAACACCTTTGCCTGTTAGCTTGGCACAATGCCATCACTTATTTGGGCCTACCTTTGGGTACTACTAAACCATCACTCCAAGAATTCTCGCCTCTACTTACCAGAATAGAGAGAAGACTTTCTGGCATCAGTAAATTTCTGTCTTATGATGGAAGACTCATCTAAAAGCTCTAGTTTAGTTTTGGTGAATTGATGAAACCCTAAGTGCTAACCTAGTTTATCAAAGTGATCATGAGATAGGTAGCACATTCCAAGTGGTGAAGCAAATGAAGATCATGACATGATGATGGTGATGCCATGGTGATGATCAAGTGCTTGGACTTGAAAATAAGAAAGAGAAAAATAAAAGGCTCAGGGCAAAGGTATAAATGGTAGGAGCTATTTTGTTTTGGTGATCGAGACACTTAGTGAGTGTGATCACATTTAGGATCAATAGTCGTACTATTAAGAGGGGTGAAACTCGTATCGAAATGCGGTTATCAAAGTGCCACTAGATGCTCTAACTCATTGCATATGCATTTAGGATCTAGTGGAGTGCTAACACCCTTGAAAATGTTTATAAAAATATGCTAACACATATGCACAAGGTGATACACTTGGTGGTTGGCACATTTGAGCAAGGGTTAGAAACTTCACCGGCGAAGTGTCCGCCCGTAGAGTGCGGACAGTCTGACGGTGCCACCGGCGCCCTATACAGAGAAGACATGATTTCACAGAGTGACCGGACGCTGGGTTCAGCATCCGGTCAGTGACAGCAGTGAGCAGGCGGTCTCGGTCCTGTGACCGGACGCTCAAAAACTTCAAGACTTTTTCAACCTACAATCCTATCAGAGGCAATAGTGATTTGTTTTGGGCAGGGACCTGGACAGGACAACCTCTCAAAGAAAGGTACCCACAACTCTTCTCTTTTAATAGGAAACCCAAATGCTCCATCAGATTTTTCCTAGATCATGATGTTGAGGTAATCTTCAGATTACCTCTATCAACCCAAGCCGCTATACAACTAGAAGAACTGCTGGACCTTGTTCATAACATAAATTGGGATGAAAGTACAATGATAGCTGGATCTATTCCTAGGGAAACTCGAATTACACTAGTAAGAAGGCATACAAGCTTCTAATTGGCACTGAGCAGGCCTCTCCCCTCTTCCCATGGCTTTGGGCCTCAAGCAACTTGGGAAAGCACAAGTTCTTTTTCTGGCTCCTTTTTCGAGACAGATTAAACACTAGAAATCTATTGAGAAGGAAGAACATGCACCTAGATGACTATAAGCGTGTGTACTATGCAATGCAGGCCATGAAGAGACCAGTTTTCATCTCTTTTTGAATGCTCTTTCAATCTGCTGCTCTTTTCAAGATCGCTCGCTTTGGAATACAATTCCTATCGGTTGGGACTGAACTTGCCACACTTAGACATGGTTATTGATGCTAGAACCAACTTTGGAAGCCCCATCTTTAGAGAAATTTGCATAAGCGCTTGTTGGATTATTTGGACCACTAGAAATGCGGTTATTTTTTACAATGCTTGATTAGTATTAGCAATTGGAAAAAGAAGTTTCAAAGAAGAGCTTGGTCTTGTGTGTACTAAGGCCAATGCAAAGAGGCAGGCACCACTCAAAGTGTGAAGAGATAGTTACCTTTTTTATTTTGTTCCTTTTCTTTTGGGCCTAGTTGCCTTGTATTCTTCCTTTTTCTTGTAAATATTGTACAGTCTGTTCTTTCATTTAATGAAAATAAAAAAAATATAGGTAGGGGGCTCCCCCACTGTTGTTGGGAATCAAAAAAAGCAGATTTGTTATTTTTGTTTCCCCACGTATAGAATGAGTTTTAATATCAAATTTGTTGACGTGACAGAGGACATCATAAGTTATGTTAGAAGAATGTATCTTAATTTTTTGCTGCTATTTTGATAGCATAGGAAATTAAATGATGAATTGACAGTAGAGATAAAATACTATACAAAACATAATGATGAAAAAATCATAATGCATTTTTATAATACAAAATATGATGTCCTCTATCACCTAACAAAATTTGAAACTAAAACACAAATTGTACATAGAGAAACAAAAAAAAGTAATATCTTTTTAAGGTGTAAATTGGACCAACTTAGAAATAAATTGAACTAAATGTTAGTTTATGGGGGTTTATCTGGATGTAGACCAATCCCAGATGGGCCCGTTGTTTTATCAAGCCCCGGCCCGTGAACCTCTGCGACAAAGGCCTACGGAGCGGTTGGGCTGTCGCGACTCTGGTCGTGCGAGAGTCCAGCCCCGCCGGTCCGGCAACGAAAGCCTATCTGCCAAGTAGTTCCGTTCGGGAATGGCATGTTGGGCCGTTCTCGAGGAGCTATTTTGACAGCGGATGGGCCGGTGCTCATTTTTGCCAGACACCAACCTCTCTCACAGTCTGAGTGTCTCACAGTCACACACACACGCGTGCGTAGTTCCAAGTTCCAGCACGCATCCAGCCGGGTACAATGCCAGTGCCAGCATCGTTGTGTTAGGTAGGTTGCGTGCCATCGACAAAGGAGTTGGCTCGTCAGATCCGAGACATTCCAAAGCCTGACCGATCGCTGAACGCCGCCGATGGAGGCAAAGGCCCTGTTCGCGTGCCTTTAAATCTTGATCTACTTTTTTTTTATCTGGAACAGTGTTTTTCTCTTATAAATTTCTTCAGCATTTTCCTAAACCATCCAAATTTCTCCGGCCAAACACCCCAAAGAAGCCGATTGCGTGCCCTGTGGCTGTGGTCACGGGCGCCTGCCGTGCAAATACTCCGTAATTCAGAGCTACCGCGGTGACGGACGGACAGGCCGGGATATGCACGATCGGCCACGAGGCTGCTGGCCGCGCGTGCGTATATGCATGTGCATGTGCATATGCATGCCTGGGTTTGGCCGCCGCGACAGGGACAAGGAACTGGATTTCACCATGCGTCCACGCCGTGCGTTGCTTCTTCTTCATCTGTAAAGCTTCCATAAATCTCTTCCGTTGTTCTCTTGTCTCACCCTTCTTTTTTTTCAAAGGACTAGAGGACGCCGAGCCGTTCGATTCAGACGCACGCAAGTATTGCTCGCATGCTAACCGCAGTGCGTCTATCTTTCTTCTCTATTTTCTTCCTTTACCTCACTATAAAAAAAACGTTTGTAACAATGGAATAATTTTTTTGACGGCTGGTGATGGAGCCGCCCCCTACAGTGGACGTGCTCGGGACTCACGAGACCAGCCGCCCCTATAAATAAAACAATGGAGGCGGCTGGTGATACGAGCCGCCCCTACAAATGGGTTGATTTGTAAGAACGGCTCACTCATCAGCCGTCCCCGGTGTTGCTATTTGTAGTAGTGCCTGGTTGTGCAAAAGAGTTTTTTTACAAATATAGACCGAAAACTCTTTTGCAAGTCTAATTCTCGGGGACACATTGGCTTCGGCACTTGGCACGATTGTTCTGGTGTGATGAATATATAGGAGTGCATCTCCAGGCGTGTCGGATCCTTGAAACGGATCCATTGTGCTTCTTCGTTGTCTATGGATGGCTATTTAATTAATTTTAGAATTGGGTTTAGAAAGCTGAGTTTACAAAGTTGGATTACATACTGAACGGAAAAACTCAAACACAATTACAGAATGACTAATCATCTAAAGCTTGATTTCCTCAAGCTTTCCTTCTTAGTCTCATCTCCCACTTGATCAGGGAACCACTTGTGATGGTGTGTTCAAAACTCATCCAAAAATCCTCCAATTTCTTTCCTTCCAGATGTTCCAAGCTCCATACATGATCAAAGCGGCTTTCGTTCTCTATGTTCATGTGCTCTGGCTCTGCATTGATGTTGCGTGCCCATCATGCATCGGCCGTTTAATCGTCGTATTCTGGAAGTTTGCTGATTTACCCAACTCAATCTTTCATTTTGAACCACACCTTCACAAAAGGGCATTGCACAAATAAGTGTACCACAGTCTCTGGTGTCTGATCATAGAGCAGGCATATCAGCTTGATTACATGGCCTTTTTTTTTTTTTGCCTCAACATGATCCGCGGTGAGGACCTTCGCCTGAAATAATAGCCATGCAAAGAACTTACACTTTCCTTCATGTTTCTCCAGGTTGAACTAGCCTGAAGCTGCAAAAAGATAAAGAATTAGGTTTCTTGAGTTAATATTTGTGAGTTGTGGATTTATTTTTAGAAGTAGTTGTAAGAGCATCTCCAAAAGTTACCTAAATATTCCTCCTAAAAATTCCATGTTTTCCAACTCCTAAAAAGTATTGGGAGAAAAAAAGAGGATCATCTCCAATAGTTTCTAATATTTCAATTTAAAAAATCAAATTTTGGTCCATTTGAGTTTTTTTTTCAATCCTTTTTTCGCGCAGAATTCTTCGTGCTCGCGCATAGGTACGCCGCCGCCGCCTCCTTTCCTTCGTGTTGCCCTAGCTCAGCAGTCGACAACCAGGCAAGCAAACAGAGCATGCATACAGTACCATGCAAGCAAGCAGGCGGGTAGCAACTAGGCAAGCATGCAACCAGCAGCCTGCACGCAAGCAAGCAGGCGCTCCTCGTCGCCTCGGTGGCACTTCTGCTTCGCCTGGGGCTGTGACGGCTCCATCATCATCAACTCCACGCCGGGCAATAAGACCGAGAAGGATCAACCCGCTCATCGCCAAGGGCTCCAGGGTGACGCTCGCGGCCGACCAAGTTCCTCCCGTGGCGCCGCCCGACACCGCCGAGGTGGCGTACGCGCTGTTCGCCTCCAACTGGCCTGCGCCGGCGCCGGGTTCATCCAAGGCCCAGCGCCCGGTGCTCACCGCGCTGCTGCGCTCCTTCTGGCCGCAGTTCCTTCTCACCGCCGTGCTCGGCGTCACTCGTGGACCGGTTCGTCGAATTCGTGCGACACGGCTGGGAGCTCACGGGGCTGCAGCTCGTCACCGTCCTCCTCGTCGACAAGGCGGCCAAGACGCTGGCGTCGCACCACTACGAGTTCCAGGGCCAGAAGCTGGGAAAGGTACGGGAAGAAGGACTCCGCGGGAACGCCAATCCGCGCGTGGCTTCGTCCGCACAAAGTTACGCGAAAGGAGGGGATTTCCCAAGTCCTGAAAGATTAGAGTATATATTAGGAGTTGTTGGAGAGGAGTTTTTTCCTATCTTTCTAAAAAACAAGGATTAGGAGGATATTTAGAGAACTCTGGGAGATGCTCTAACTTTTTATAACAATAAGGTGGTTTAAACAAAGCCAGAATATTTCTTTTCGTAATCTAACAGAATAATTAAACTCAAGGTGGGCCGACAACCCCCCCTAACAATAAGGTGGTTTAAACAAAGCCAGAGTAGTTGTTTTGAAAGAAGTAATCAATGATTAGATCCAAATAATGGCTTTAAATTCTAAACAAACACTTACTTCTAGCTAGATAGATTGTCAATCAACTGATGATTATTTAACTGAAATATTCTCAAGTTTGTTTTGGTAGAACAAAAATTTATACTAGTTGAACAGGAAATGTATACATCTTGAACAAATCATGTACTTCAAGAATCAAGAATAACAAAAAATTGTACACTGTGAACAAATCATGCGCAATTCCTTTGCCGGTGCTGACTACTACTACTAATGGGCTTCAATTTTGGAACAAACAAAATGCAACTTTAGCCGAGCAAACTAAGACTACATGGGCCGAAATACACACTGGTTCTCTTAAATCTTGATTGAGTGTGTGGAGGGAGAAATTGGCCATATACGTGTATGTCTGTGAGTATGCAAAATCGTCTAACGGTCTGTTCGTTTGTTGGTTTGAGTCAGCCCAAACTAATTAGCTAACAGTGTTTTTCTCTCAAAAAAACCAGTACCAGTCAACCCAAACCAACACCAGCACCTACCAGCGAACAGCCTGAGTGACACGCAGGCACGACGCATCACAGTCCCCGGCGCGGCGTGAGGTCGTGCACAGCGCCATCGCAGTCCCGATCCGACGGTGACCGCTACAGCTACAGCGTGTGAGCGAGTCACCCTCAGCCAGCTCCCACCCGAAGTTCCGAACAAACTGCGTGGCGCGCGGCCTATGGGAACTGGGAAGGAAGATTGGCACACTGTCGGGCGACGACTCATCAGACACAGTCATCAGGACACCGTTACACCAACGACGCTCTGGCCGAATTTTGTATTTTTTAGTTTATTTTTAAAAAAATTTCATAAATATATCCCTACAATACCATAGCTTGATGTCATCGTTGCTGGCTCCGAGCTCCGGGGCACGTTGACACTATAGACGCTGACATGTACAGACATCTAGACGCCGTGGATTTTCACGCCGAGCTCAGCTCGGCGCCAATGATCGTGACGCCAAGCTCGACGCCAACGATCGTGCCAAGACCTCCTACGGCCCGAGGTTCCTTAGTACTCTTTTCCTCTCTCTTTCTCTCTACCGTCCCCGCCCTCACCCGTGCCGCCCCGCCCTCACCCGCGCCGCCGCGGCCGCTCCCACGCGCTCGCGCCGCCGCGCCCGCGCGCCCACGCCACCCCGGCCGCAGCCGCCCCGCCCGCGAGCGCCGCTCCGCCGCGGAGGCCGACCGCCGCGACCGCCAGGAGCGCGCCAAGGAGGAGCAGTACTGGGCCGAGGCCGAGGGCCCCAAGTCCCGCGCCGCGCGCCGCCGGGAGGAGGACACCGAGAAGCGCGCCGAGGCCGCGGCGCGCAAGGCCGAGAACCGCCGCCTCGCCGAGGCCGAGGTCGCCGCTTCCGCGTCGGCGCGTCCAAGGCCGCCGCGCGCAAGGCGTCCCACGTCGCCGCCCCGCCCCCCAAGGTCACGGAGGCCGAGCTCGCGCGCCGCCGCGAGGAGGAGCGGCTACGCCTCGAGCGGGAGGCGGAGGCCGCCAAGAAGCGCGCCGCGCGGGTCGCCGAGGAGTACGAGCGCGTAGTGCTTGTCGAAAACACTAACAGGATGATTCCCTCATCGAGGCCAGGTCGGTTGAGGAGGCCATCGCGCGGATGTCGGTCCTGGATCCGCAGGTGTCCCTGCCCGCTGACAAGCATCCTGAGCGACGCCTCAAGTCGACCTTTAAGGTATATTAATTTTACCAAATTTTGTTTCTTATATGCTCTTTTACTAAATAACTTTATAGCTATGTGAAATTTGGTAGGATTGCACCACAATTACAAAGAAAATAGATATATGTTATACTAGTAACGTAGATATATCATTTTTTTTTTGGTATGATTGAGAAAGATATGTGAGGCACTGAGGCGCTGTAATCGCAGTTAAAATGATTTAGTCCTTGTGGAATGAGGAGCTAAATTTAAGAACTACCGTGCTCTCATACCTGAGCTATAAGTTGTTAAAAAAAACTTCCGTAGGCACAGATGAACGGGACACCCATCCATGGTAGTGACTGTTGCAACACCTGTCGGAGCGCTTGAAAATAGCACACTATCATCATAGTTGATATGGGATAGCAAATTAATAATGCTGTAGCGTTGCATGATTTTCTTTTACTCTGCTATTCCAAATCGGTCCAATGCTTTGGGACATTCTAATATGCCTATTTTTCAATCCAGTTCCTAATTCCATATGGTACTGCAATTTAAGAATGAGAAATTTAGAATAGTTTCTGCTCAACACACACTGTTTGACTTATATTATTGCTGCTGAGTTATCTTAAATCTTGGTTGCACTGCTATACTGCAGAAGCAATGTGATCAGCAGTATTACATTTTCTAAAGGAAGAAACACATACAGAATAGTGCTTTGTCTATACATAGAAAATATTGAAGTGGCATATAATTCTTCCGAAGAATTCACAGCTGTGGTCTTCTTATATTCACTTTCAGCACAGCATTTGCGATAATTTTCAATACCTTGACCCTTGGTGTAAATTTTTGTGCTTCAGTAGGCATTTAGTTTTCTACTGTTTGATATATGTTTGGTGATTGAATGCATTTGTGATAATTTTATGATAGGCATTTGAAGAGGCAGAGCTCCCTAAGCTGAAGGAAGAAAAACCAGGCCTAACGCTGCACCAGTACAAAGACATGATATGGAAACTGTGGAAGAAGTCTCCAGACAACCCTCTTAACCAGGTTTGGCTTCTATCTCCTAGCGATTTTGTACTATGTCTTCGTGGATGTACATGATTTGTATGAATATGCCATATCTGCCATCTTCAGCTTTAACACATGTAATTGAAATTGTGCCTAAAACTTGTTTCCACTAATTTTCACTAGTGATATTTTGAGCCATTTATCATTTTTGGTCTTAGAATTCTCAAGTGGTTTGGCCTTAGTCATGGTAGTGTTTTAATATCCGTGCTTAGTGTGATTTATGTCTAAATCCTCAAACAAATATTTATGTGCAGGCTGCTGACTGATTTTGCAATCCTACTAAACCGTTTGTGTAATTAAAGGCAAGTATTAAATCTCTAACTTAAATAGGTTCATTATACTTATGTCGGATTTCATGAGCAATAGCATGCCATTGTTTTATATGCAGATCAACCTCCAAACAGCCCTGAGCTGCGTTGATACCTTTTTCTTGGAGTGGATGTGCAACAAACCTTGAATCAGAAAGATGTTTCAGTCTCGGCTAATAATTTTCAAATTACTGGAGTGTATACTGTGGGAGGTGTTCTTGTTTAGACTTTGTTGAGGTTCCTTTTTCTGTTTAGTATGGTTGGGCACATGTTGGTACCAAACATACTTCACGCGTGACAGTATTTTGAATCTTGAACAAGTTGTGTCATGGGCTAAACCATGATATGTCCATTTGTTACCGAGGCTGCCTCATTATTTGGCTCAATATCTCTCCTTTTGCATAATATGGCTCCGTAATCATTTGAGTTGCTTCCCTCCATTTCGGCTGAACGATGTGGAACATGTACGGACGAGCTTCAGTGGATGCAAGTTACCAGTTACCTTATGGGTTAATTGATTGCTTGCATTAGCCTTAGCCTGTGCATAACCTAGACAGCGTAAACATATGCTCAATAAATTAGCGTTCTTCTGAGCTCGTCATTGCCGCGCTACCTCATCATCTGCAGGCGTAGGGACTGCACGCCAGCCATACTAAACAGCTAAAGGTCCGGCTACTGGAGGAAGTCCAATCTTAACATCAGTGACATCGAGTTATAGGAAGGTTGGGCCGGAGTTAAAACACCACCTCGGCGCCATAGATCATGGCGCCAAGTTCGGCGTCAGGATCTACAGCGCCAAGCTTGACGCTAGGATCTATGGCACCGAGTTGCCTGTCAAATCACCACCACGTCTGCGTCGAGACCAAGATCTCAGCGCCAATAACGATAGCGCCAAGTTAAGGATCCAGATTTTAAAATCATACCTCCAGGAGTATATTTGTGAATTTTTTTAAAAAAATAGCTAAAAAATAAAAAATCCGGACACTCTGGTCAGTCGTCAGGAAAACTACGTGACGACGGTGGTGACCCTGTGGACTCGGTCAGTCATGAGAGCGAGTCTCCAATAATTCCGTTCCATCGCTAGCAGAGTAGCTAAGGATGGCAACGGGTCGGGTTCAAATCGGGTGGAGTCTCCGTGCACCCAAAACCGAAACCCGAAATCGAAACCCGAATTCGCCCCGAAAACCGATTCGGGTGGAAAACCATCACCAAAACCAAACCCGCGGATACCCGAAACCCGAACGGATACCCGAAACCCGAATGGATACCCAAAACCCGCGGATATATATATACACATATTCACATGTATAAACAAGAGGCAACAAATAATAAATATTTTCATGAGTCAACTTTAAATAAATTTAATAATCTAAGTAAACAAATTATTATTAGTATATTATAAAACATGAGTTTTAATTCCAAATGATTTATTTCGGATATCCATTAGATATCCATGGGTGGAAAACCAAACCCGAAACCGAACCCGATTGGTTTCGGGGCCCCGAACCCAAAAACCGTAGGTGAAAAACCATCCCCAAACCCAAACCCGCAGAACCCGAAACCCGCGGATATCCGCCCCAAACCCGATCCATTGCCATCCTTAAGAGTAGCAGGAGTATTGTTCTGTTCGTACGAGGTTGCCGCGTATGGGGAGCGCGTGTCTAGAATTGTAGGATTATTTTAGACCGCACGTTATGATTTTTTGAGCAAATGAAAATATTGGAAACCTCATCTCTTCTAGCAATCACAATTATATTCCCTAATACAAAGCTTGATGGCTATCACGTTATGATTTTTTGAGCAAATGAAAATATTGGAAACCTCATCTCTTCTAGCAATCACAATTATATTCCCTAATACAAAGCTTGATGGCTATCGATAGCTATATTTTGAACTAGTATAGGTTGGCCGTGCAACTTAAATATTTTGTTCGTCCATGCATGTTGATTTTTGTCATAAATTTATACTTTATCCATTTGTATTTTATCACTACTATTTTTTAATTTTAAAAAGATGTAACTTAAATATTTTTACATGAATTTAAAATTAAAATTTAATTGTATTTTATCACTATTATTTTTTATTTTTTGAAAAGATGTAACTTAAATATTTTTACATGAATTAAAATATTTTTATGTAAAGACATAATTTCAATGCTTACCATAATGATAATTTTATTCCTCTGGCCTCTAATATTGTCATCACTTTGCTCTACTATATATATTTATTGGAAAAAATCTACATAACCTCCTCACCTTTGGCACTACGGCTACTCTACCCTCTGAACTTTGAAACCGTATAACAAGCACCTTAAAGTTTTTCAAACCGTTTAATTAACCCCGTGGAGTGGTTTTGGCAGCCGGTTTTGCCTACGTGGCACTCCAACATGGAAAGACAGGACAGGGTGGTGGCGGGCCCCTGATGTCAGTCCCCTTCGGCCCCAAATACGGACTGAGCAGAAGAACTTAAAATTGACAAAGTCACCAAGATCTCGCTATCACAGACACGTCTATGTCTATAGTGGGCGTATTTTGGGAGTTTGGGTTAACCTTACTGTCGGAGACCAATATTAGGGTACCCGAAGAGGAGGAGCTAATGACCATCAACATTGACTTATTCGAGCAGTCAAGAGCGCGACTACAGTTCCAACCGACCCCCCGGCGCGCAAGCTCCGCTTCGCCCGGCCTTTGGGAAAGGGCACCGCCTTGCCCGACCTTTGGGTCTGCGCTCCGCCTTGCCCGACCCTGGGGTTTGCGCTTCGCCTCGCCCGGCCTCTGGGGGAGGACTCCACCTCGTCCGACCCCGAGGCCGCAGGCTCCGCCTCGCCCGACCCTTGGGTCTACGCTTCGCCTCGCCCGACCCTTGGGTCTGCGATCCGCCTCACCCGACCCTTGGGTTTGCGCTTCACCTCGCCCAGCCTCTGGGGGAGGACTCTGCCTCGCCCGACCCCGAGGCCGCGGGCTCTGCCTCGCCCGACCCTTGGGTCTGCGCTCCGCCTCGTTTGACCCTTGGGTCTGTGCTCCGCCTCGCCCGACCCTTGGGTTAGCGCTCTGCCTTGCCCGACCCCGAGGCCATGGGCTCCTCCTCGCCCGACCCTCGGGTTTACGCTCTGCCTCGCCCGGCCTCTAGGGGAGGACTCCACCTCGCCCGACCCCAAGGTCGCGGGCTCCGCCTCGCCCGACGGAGACCCATACCACCGCCAACCACTCCAGGTCCAAGCGTATGGGCCTCAGTCCAAGCTCTGACACCAGGGAAGAGACCGACACGCCCCGATGTAACCCGTGGCCTTGACGAGCCATACCGGAGGATTCACATCAAGAATAGCGTCGGGCGTACCGGTGTTGTTCTGCCTAACCCCCGTACGAACACTAACGGGCACGTCAGTTCACCCCGACGTTCGCCAGGACGGAGTGGAGCGCCATGACTGGCATATGACGCTTGCGCATGGTGCTCGTGACGGACAGGACCGCGACGCGAAGCCGTCCTTGTTGACATCTACAGGGTCAGCGGGACCCGCATGAAGGAGAAGAAGGACCCGATGATCCTGAAGGCCTTTGGCTCTCTCTCTCTCGTTCTTATTTTTCCTCTGCTGTAACCCATGCTTTTCCTTGGCCTATAAAAGGGAAAGCAGGGTGTCCCATAAGGGACATCGCAACACATCAGATCGATTCGAGCCAGATCCAAACAAACCCATTGAACCTCGAACACACGACTGAGCAGCAACCGAGCTCCCTCAGCACCCGTTTACTCTTTTCACCAGAGACTTGGGACCTATCCCTCTCTCGCCTATTTGTAACCCCTACTACAAACTTTCAGGGCTAGTAACACGAGCGGCAGTAACGAACTGGACGTAGGGACATTCTACCTGAACCAGTATAACCTCGTGTCCTCTAAGCACACCATCTGAGCCAGACGCGCAATATTAGAAATTTACTCATTGGTGGCAACTCGAAACACCGATAGTTGGCGCGCCAGGTAGGGGTCTTTTGCGCATCTCGACATTCACACCATGCCTCGGATGGCTAGTCGCAACGTCAGCTGGGTCTCGGGCGCGCACGTTCGCTTTAGGGACCTGGACTTCATTGTCACGACGGAAGGAGAGTTGGCGCAGGCTCCCGCCGCCGTCCAACCTCTCCACTCCACCAGCCTCTATGCTATCGCCGAGGGGCTAGAGGAGCTGCAGCTGCACGCACCGAAGGCCCACGCCCCCGGGAGCGACCAGCTCCTCGGCTTCGACTACGGGAGGTTACAGTGCTAGCTCGGCACCTTCCTAGGACCCCGACCGTCCTGGGAGGACCTGTGCCACCACACCTTCTCGTTCGCCAACGTCATGGCACAGCTTGCCAGGGGAGAGCCCCGCTCCCCGGAATACCTCCCTTAGAGCACCACGACAGCGCTCCCGTTCGGTCTCCGCAATGCCGCAGAGACCGTTGACCACCCTGTGGCGCAACACACGCCTCCATCCCCCACGAACGACGAGTTCGTGGGGATGACCGAATATGTCGTGAAGTCTTTCCATGACCTCCTCGTAGGAGAATCAGAGTCGCCCTCCAGCTCTGACTCCAGTAGCGGGAGCCATCACCCCTCTCGTGACTATTTCATGGTGGGTACCCCCGAGGGACACGTCAAAAGCATCGACGAGGAAGAGGCTACCCCAATGAATGACCTCGATGACGAGGTCGGGGGGATGCAGGGGGCCTGCCTTGCCTGTGGGTGGAACAGCTGAAGGCCCGACACCAAGGGCTCGAGGAAGTGCCCGACTCCAGCTTGAGCAGGAACGCGTGGAGCTCGATCGATAGATCGAACGCCACATAGACAGTGGGCGTGCACGCGCCATGGCCAGTGACGTGAACCGGAGGATCATCGATGACGATGAAGCACTCCCACACTTCGCCCGAGCGAGCCAGAACATCGCCGTTGCGGTGGCCTTGCTCCCGGGGCTTTCGGGGCCCGCAACG